GTTAGTTAGGAGAGAGGACCTGGGTAGCATTAGCTTAGCTAAGGCTCCAGCTCCAGACACCAGAGGTTTAATTTTGGATTTCCGTTTCTCTAAAATCAGCCACTCAACTTCACTTCATCAGACTTGAGTCACTGTCATCTAAATTGGTGTCAGTAAAGCTTTTGTTAGTCAGAATCAAACCTGTTCTGTGGTGGGTAGAGCTTAGCTAATGCTAACCTGCTACTCTCTCCTGGTTATCCACGCCATTTAATATTTAGAAATTGGTGTTAGATTAAAGCTATGCTGGTTTTTGAGTGGTGGATTTAAAATTGTGCACCACTTTCATTTATTTGGCGTCCGAGTGAGAAAACTGAACAGATTCGATTGTTTTCCGGTTTGAAATAATGCAGCAGGATGTGGTGGCAAAATAACAACATAAACGTAGAACCAATCAGCAAACAGCTACGTTATTACATCATCCCACCGAATGTTTCTGTGGCCCCAAGTACGTTTAGCTAACTGTGCCAAAAAAGCCGTGCTGAGCCCAGTTTTTAAGCGTTCCGTGTCGAACCTCCGTGCTTAGAACCATTTTACCCTGCAGTGGAAAAGAGGCCTAACTTTTGACGTGCCACTTTATTTGTTCCTTGTTATTAACATACACAACTGACTTTGCATATATGGAAGTAAAATGCCAGTTTGGCCTAATAAAGAGCAAATAATGTTATATATTGTCACTTTTGTGACAAACCTTAATATCTCCAAAATGGTAACTCTGAACAAGACTACGTTTTCCAAGTACTTTTTGAGCATTGCTGTTGCTCCAGTAATAATTACAATTTAACATACTGTATAAAGTAGCTGGCAACTTCAACAAAAGAGAAACCAAAACAAACAAAGAATAAAAAAAATAAATATATAAATAATGGGCAATAAAATCTCGCAAAAATAAATAAATTGCTGCAAAAAATTGATTTCCAATGCATGCCTTTTTTGTAGATACATGATGAAGTGACTTTTTAATTTTTTATTTAGAGGTAATTATTTTAAACTCATGAATATACACGCATCAGTACAGTTTACAAGGCTGCAAGAAAGATGCAACATCAAAGTGTGTTCAAGTTTATGACCATAGCACCATGTCACTTGCATAGCTATATATAGTGTTCAAATTAGGACCTTGTGAAGTTCTAGTGAAATGTGATTCATAAAATGGAAGTAAATGGCGAAGATCGTTTAAAAAGGGGAAAAGCCTGATTAAGAACACAACCAGCAGCCTGACTGAGCAATACCAAAAAGCCTTTGTATTTTACCCGACTGAAACTTGCAAATGCGTCAGCTTGAGCAACCGTAAAACAGTGATTCATGACAAAGAGGAAGGACAGAGAGAAAGAGAATGCGAGAGTGTAGAGAAAGCGAGAAAGAGAAAGAGAGGAAGAGAGAGAGAGAGAGCAAGAAAGAGGGAGAGCAAAATAGAGAAACAGACGAGAGAGACAGAGAGAGAGAGAGAGAGAGAGAGAGAGAGAGAGAGAGAGAGAGAGAGAGAGAGAGAGAGAGGAGAAAGAGAGAGAGATAGATAGTGTGAATTCATCTCACTGATTAGAGCTGTGGTCTATTTCCAGAGCCGCTCTGACCTCCTTAAAGTCTCACAGATCACAGAACAGCACAGAAGCGTCATACATACACAAATCTACATAACACTATTTCTAGATAACAGAGTGTATGTGTTTCTGTATGTGTAATGTGTGGTTTGGAGGGGGGTAAGTGGGGGAACGATGAAGTCACTCCAGAAACAGGTCTAATAATTCACTCAATATGATCTTTTTTAATCCCATCTAACAGTGAAGGGGTGATTCTGTATGTGTTTGTTATCACAGTGTCTGGGTGTTTAGAATGACTGTAACAGTGTGGCTGAGCTGTTCTCATCCATCTGAAACATACTAGGCTTTATCTACTGTCTGCTAATTCTGGTAGTACAGAACTGGAGACAGAGAGAGCAAAAATAGGGATGCTGAATCACTAACAAAATCTTCTGCACTTGTAGCTTTACCTTTACACATCATTCTCTATAGTATGTTGATAATGAAACTATGAATGCACACAAGAAAATGCTTTGAAATGTATGAGAAATCAACTGTGTCATAAGTGCATTAGGACCCAACCAATTAGGAAATTGTCAGCAACACCAATTTTTAGTAGCTAAAAAGTCAGTGAATTTAGTATGAATATCCAATTGTAATTTAGATGGTTAGAAAAGAAACATATTTTAATAGAGATGCACAATAATATCTAACTCATATCAGTATCGGACAGATGTTTAGATTTAACCAGTACTTATAATAGATATTTGATTGTGTATTTACTTCACTTCAGAAGAGCAGTGACTACAAAATTACTATAAAAAATGAATTATATTAGTTAATAAATATAATTATTATAGATAGTTATATTTCTACATAGTTGTAATCCAAGTGGATCTAGTCCCAATTTCTACATTTTATAAATGTGTACGTATTGATATCAGCACATACGTACATGATAAATATTGGATACAGACATGTGGTAGTTTTAGTTAAACGGTTCTTTATTGATTAATATGATTGGTTATTATTTAACACAGCGGTGTCAAGAGCTAAAAAGACAAGTTACACATAAAGTAACTTTCTTTAAGAGGAAATCATTTAGGTCATGAGTGATTTTTGAAGCCTTGGTTATCACACATTTGTCATGTATTGACAAATTTGAAAAGAACCCAGCAAGCACAATACTTGAAAAAGAGTGAATTAGAAAAATAGTGAATTAATTTGTCTCTAGGTTTTTAAAAAAAAATCCTTATTTTTCTAACATTACACTATATTTTATTACCAAAACACTTAAAAAATGAGTGAAAAAGGAAAATAAAAATCAGCAGATAGCATAATACCACTTTTTGTTTTCCAGTGATGATAGTGAAACCCTGAGTATCGGCCGATACAGGTATCAATTAAAACCTACTAACCTTAAAATTGAGCTGTTTTTAATTGACACACATCACTAAAGATGAGCATCTAAAATAGGCTATCATGCTCAAACTACTTAAACATTCTTCTACCCAACATGTAGAAATACACAGATAACAGCATCACATCACACATGTGAAAATGTGCCATTTCAGGCTGATTTGTTAGAGGATCTGATCAGATTCTGATATCGGATGCAGCAGGTCCTGCTGATAGCGGCCTGATTTCTAAACCCATTGATACAGATATGCCATCTCCAGTAATGTATAGTATAAAAATGTTTGTTCTCTTTTTGGGTGTGGGTTTAGGGTAACTTTTCTGGACACACTTCAGGGCAGCCCTGGTCAAAAATCATGGTGTCACTTCTTAATTATCTCAACTGTCTCAATTGTTAATTGTCAAATTAAACTCACAAAATTGTATATAATATAATATAAAACATGCCCCTTAAAAATAATCGTATAACTTAACCTTAAACTTTGAGGAAGGGTAAATAAAACTCACGTAACATTAAACTTTTAAACATGATCAAATTTAAAGTCTGCCCCACTTAACCAAAGCAGCTTACAAATTAAATAAGTTTACATACAAAAAATGACTTTCTGTCCTAAAGTTTTTGTGGTATGAAACAACACTTCTATTTTTGGATATTATGTGCGCCTTATCAGCAGGAAAATCTGCTAAACAGTATATCATTTGGGTAGTGTTTTGCTTTTCCTTGTTTTGTGAACACTGGAGATCCTTACAATAAACAAACAAGAAACAACCAAGCACACAAATAGCTTTACTACAGATGAGACAAGCTGATTATAGGACCCCTACAAAAGCTTGACAAAAGCTCAGAAACACTCTGTCTCTCCCCTCCCCCTCTCTAAGAAGCTAAATGCCTCTTCTAATAGGTCTCAGTGGAGCTAATGAGGATTAGCTATGAATGATAGTGCTCGTTTCTGCCTATCAGTCCACTGCACTGGGAATTTACTGACCAGCTGGTCCACTAGAGCCTTATGAACCCCTCAACACACCCACACATCCCATACACGCACACAGACAAGAGATTTAATTACCAAGACTGTCAATCATACTTCAATTCCCATCAATGTCCAGTTTATGAATGAGTAAGCAATCAGCCTGTGCTATTTCCTTTTGTGCCACCAGGAGGTCCGGCGAGATTAATACACAGCCGTCAGCAGCTGACGCACGGCTACAAACTGAATAAAGCATCGTTACTTTGCAGTTAATTACCACTTAATCGCGTTATGCAACTACTGGTAAATAAAATCCCCATGCCTCGAAGCAACACTGATCCTTATATAACAGAGACAGAGAGGGAAATTAAAATATGGAAGAAAACCTTTGAGCATCGATTAAAATGTATTTTAATGAATCAGCATTGATTAGATAGCAATTTGCATGATGATCATGCATATTTTAAACTCTTAAATCACCATCATCCACTGGCAGGTCCAAAGTTTTACTATACAATTCTACAATCTAAGAATAATTCTTAATATTCTGGAATTTTAAGGGGTGAATTTCTTCTACAGGTATCAATTACAGTACATAATAGAGCCTGACAGACATTTATGTGCAATTTTGTCAGTATTTTATAGCGCTATATATTTTTTGATAAAGTCTTTTCAGTTTCCTTGCTTATCTTTTTCAAAATCTTCTGGAATCTTTGAAAGGCCATGCAAGGTTTGTTACTATTTCAAAAAAAAAAAATTACTGAGTAGATGATCACTAATAAATTCATTTACATAGCCTACAGCTAAATCAGATATTGTATATTGTACACTATTACTGTAAACTTTTATCAAAACTCTGTTATTATCGACTGTAATCTCATTAACAAATATGTAATATTTGAAATTTTTGGTGAATGATGTATCACCTGCTTATATATCGTGCAACTCTAGATATAACAAATCGTGACTGTAGTGACAGCCCTAAAAAAGCAGAAGGAAAAGTTTGACTGTGCTAGAATCGAATGTTGACAGAGAGAGGGTTACATGCACTAGCACTCACCATCATCCAGTGTAATATCCTGCAGGCCAATGGAGCGGAAGGTAAGCTCTCTGTCCTCAGGTTCCTGCTTAATGTTCAGCCTTTCTCCCTCCGCAGGGAATGGGCCTTGCTGCTGCTGCGCCAAAGGATGCACAAGAGGACTGGTGGCTGGCAGCCCAGTGAGGACGGGGCTGCTGGCCTGGGGTGAGGGCTGTCCTGAGTGGGACAGGGGGCCCAGGGGGCTGCTGGTTGGTGAAGGCGAGGTGGGAGACTGGTAGGGCAATGAGTGGAGCTGGGGCGAGGAAGGGCCAGAGTGGGGCGAAGGCACCATCTGGACGGGGGCACTGGAGGGCGTGGGGCAGGAGGCAGAGCGCTGACCAGCCGGGTGATAGCCAAGTGGTCGCTGGAGCTGTGAGGCCGGTTGTGCGAGGGCATGAGTGGGCGAAGGGGGCAGCTGACCTGGAGTGGGACAGTGGTAGCCCAGAGAGTGAAGGTGAGGGGTAGAGTGGGCCATGGGCTGGCTATTGCCAGTACATGCTACATGGCTAGGACTTGAGGCTGGACCCCCTACTCCAGAGGCCGGGGCCGAAACAGGGGGCCCATAAATCATCCCCATCCCGAGAGGGTGACACCCGGCTGGATCGGGCTGAAATGGCATGCGCTCGTAGGCCTGAGGGGAAGTGGTGCCAGGCATGGGAAGACCAGGCTGACCGTTAAAGGGCAAGCTGTGCTGGAGAGGCGGGTAGGATGCTGTTGGGGCCGGGTGGAAGGGCATCTGGCATTCTGGAGGTGGGTGGAGGCCTCGGACCTGAAGGTGAGGAGGCAGGTGGGGAAAGGTGGGGGAGCCCATAGGGGCACAGGGTGCCTGCAGTGGGTGCAGGCCGGGGGCCAGGGCGCGTGGGGAGCTGGACAGAAGGCCGTCCTGCGGGTGGGAGTGCTCTGGGGAGGACAGCGGCTGAGAACGGACCAGACTGGTGGCATGCGCCAGGGGCATGGGCATAGGCGGGACGGCAGGGGGTTCCAAATCGTCTCTGTGCTCCTGCTTAACCAGAACTGCAGGGAGAAAAAGAGAGGGAGACACACAAAATGTTAAACAACAGATAAGTCTTTTACACTAATTCACCACTATATTATATATATATATGTGTGTATGTGAAATGCTAATTAAAAAACAAAAAGCAGTTATTAGTCAATTCTGTTTGATGTGTATTGAATTGAAAACAGATCAAAAATGTGGTATTTGATGTATTACTTTATGAACTGATAATTTTCTTGTAAATATATGCTCTTTCCAAATTTGATAACTTCAACACATTCAAAAAAGCTGGGTCAGGACTACGTTTACCACTGTGTTACATCACCTTTCCTTTCAATAGCACTTAATAAACACTTGGGGACTGAAGACACAAATTAATTGACTATTTTTCTAATTCACTCTTTTTCAAGTATTGTGCTTGCTGAGTTCTTTTCAAATTCGTCAATACATGACAAATGTGTGATAACCAAGGCTTCAAAAATCACTCATGACCTAAATGATTTCCTCTTAAAACTTTTTAAGCTAAGCTCAACAATAATGATAGTTCCTAAAAGATTAAGCCTATTCCTAGACTGAAGAGCAGAAATGGAAGGCTGCCAATTCCAGTATAAATCAGTCCAAGACTCGTCCGTATCCGGAAAACTGTCCCAAAAAGCAAATGCCACATAGTGATCAGTAACCCATTTCCCAATCTGGCGTTTCCCTGGTCCACGTGCGGGGGTTTATTTTTACCCAGCGTCGACTCTGAGAGAGCATATGGCGCCCGCTCCGAGTGCCACAGAAACCAGGGTCGGGTTTGGGAGAGGCACTGGGCTCTCTGCCCTCCAGCAAAGCTCCAAATAGGAACAAAAAATCCAGTTCACTGCCACTTTACTGGCCAAAGACTGTATCACTAGGACAGCAAGCCTTATGCTAACAGTCTTGTAAAAGACTATGTTAAATCTATGCATGTGCGGTGAGTACTATCCTCAACTTTTACATTAGTTTATCATTCTCCTGCTCATACATTAAAGACCCTTTACCCCGACAGACCACCACTCCACCCCCGCCCAAAGCAGGCCGCTGCCATGGCAACCACAGCCGCCACAGCCCGCTCGGCGCTCGCTGCCCATGCTGCTGCTTGATTGGCTGAGGGCGGGCGGGTTAGTGTGGAAAACAGGAAGCGTGCTTTTGAGTGGGCGCTTTGTGGAGCGGAGCGGGTGGGCGGGAGGCTGGGCCTCGCTTTCTCTCTCACTCCTGTGCTGCACGGTTAGGTTAGAGAGAGTGAGAAAAAAAAGCTCACGTGTGATTAAATTACGCCAACGCTGATTTTCGGTTTGACTCACCTTGGGAAAATAATAACAAACCGATACACTTCCAGAGACAGTACGATCACACGCATCACGCATGCAGAAGAACCACTTCATTAGCACTTTGTTCTGTGAATGACTATCTCTTAACACTATTCTAGACTAAAGCACTCAAAATTTACTGAAAATTAAGGAAAAACAATAAATGAATTAATGGAAGATAAAATCATGACAATACTAGAACTTCCACAGAAATTACAGGACTGTAGAGACAAAATGACGATGATCATGAAGGTCTAAATATCAGTGTAAGTTAACAAGAACAATACATTCTGACAGAATGTAAAGAGGGGAAGTCCAACAATTTGAATAACAAAGAAATTTTGAAAATCATTAAGAAGTAACTAAAATCAACAGAAAGTCTGACGTGAATGTACCACCATAAAGAAACTTATTGAGTCAGAACTGTTCGCAGAGGTGGAGATAGGAACCAGACAAGATTGCCTGATGCCTGAGATATTGTTTTACAACAGGTTTGGGGTATAGTTTGTGCTTTGATTTTTTTTTTCATCCATTTATGGAGGAGGGGTACATGCGGGGCATTTTAAAGCAAAACAGTACCCTATTATTTTTCTGATTTACCAGTTTTCCATTATCAACATCACACATAAAACGTGGAAGATATGTAGGTTTACTGGTCATTTTGGACGTCGCATAAAATGGCTATATTTGGGTTGTGCACATTCCTCTGGTTTCTACCACCACCACTGTAAAGAAATATGACTAGGTTAAGCTTCTCTACAATGCACCATTTCACATCAAATCACTCTAAATGACTCAGTTTTCTTCTTAAATATTACATGTTGAAAACTCAGTAAATGACTCTTTAAAATCATCCGTCCTAAACGATCCAATGTTAAAACATGAGTCAATGAGTGACAAACTTGCCAATAAACATGGATCTTGGGTAAGTATCTTCCTTTAAGATATACCTACGTATACTCTAAGATGTGTGGTTCTGGTGCTTGGCCTTGAATGTGTGATCAGTGGTAATTTTACCCACAAAACCAGATTACTAGTTATTTCAGTGAAAGCAAAATGTCAGGATATTTTTTAGACTCATCCCTAACTGCAGGCTAGAGTTTGGAGTTAGTAAATAAGTGAGTTTTGGCTCCTAAAGTGTATGTCATTTGCATGTTTAAGGTTCTATGCAAATGCATTCCTTATAGCATCTGACAGTCATGTTTTAAAGTGCTGAACATGAGCGGTTAGCAGGTGCACAACTGTTAGCAGGAGTAACCCTCCACCAAACCACACACAGCAGAATGCAAAAGGGAAACACTCGCTAAGAACAGGCTTAGCAGAGCACAGAGCACTAAAAGCTCTTTGGTGACAACCCCAATGTGTGGCAATGGCTTTTTCTGTACAGCATAAACTTAGGAAAAAAATTGAACATGAACATGATAATTTCTAGATGGACTAGAATTAAACAACTGCAGTTTTTAATCCATTTATGGAAGAGGGTACATGCAGGGAGCTTTGTAGCAAAACAGTACCCAACTAATTAATTAATTGGCAGTTAGACTGCACCATGTTACAGCAGTAAGCAGATTTAGATTTCTACACACACACCACACAGACACACACACACAAACACCTTATTCAAGGTCTTAGTATAGTCTTTATTATCTCTAATTATTCAAACAATAGCAATAATAGTAATTATAATAATGATACTACTACTAAAAATAACATTATAATTATAATTATTATTAATTATTATTATTATTATTATTATTATTCAGTATGAGATGTGGAGTGTGACATACCTGACAAGTAGGTAAATCGTTGTGATTGGCTCCTTTTCCGCTTCCCGTTGCACACGTAGAACTGTACCTGTGCAGCAGAGGTGACGGTCTTGCTGTGGTATGGCGGTACTTCCACCACAATACTTGACTAGAAACAGATACAACACAACATTCTGGTAACAACCACAAAGAAAGCTCTTAAAGCTAAAGGATTGCAGGATAAGTATTACAGGATGATTTTCCCTTGAGCTCTCTTACAAACTAAAGACTCTAAAGGTTTCATCACTTGGACATACAGTTCTAAAATAAAATCCTTATTTAGTCTAAAACCTAATGGTAACACTTTATTTGAATCCTGCTGCATAAACCTGACATAACCATACCATAAACATGTCATAGCAGGTGTCATATGCTGTCTTGAGTTCTCATGACAGATTATGGTCAGTAATATAATGGTGTCATGTTACCGTTACTGGTAATTTTCATGACAGATGCGACGTTTGACGTCATAAAAGCTAATTCGAGTACACTTAGCAAAACATTAGCATGTGACAAAAGCTGTCGTAACAAACACCAGTGGCATCTGTCATGAAAATTACCAGCATTCGCGGCAGCATATGGCATCTGCCATGACATGTTTATGGCATGGTTATGTCACTGATATGTAGCAGGGTTCCAGTAAAATATGACCACATATAGTATGCAAAAGTTTTGGCACCCCTGGTCAAATGACGTTTTGTTGAGTACACATCCTCTACAGAGAACAAACTGCACAATTTAATGTTCAGTTACTGTTTATTTGCTGAATTCATTATATTGGAAAAATTGAAACACAAAAGTTCTAAAACAATATTTAATGGTTTATTTTTTTTTTCAAATAAATAGAAACTGTGCAATAAAATATGCAGAAAAAAACGCCATATTTATGTGTGTTCTCTATGAAGTATGTGTTAACTTATTCTCACACAGAAAATCAACAAAACGTCATTTGACCTGGGGGCGTTCAAATGTCTGCATATAACTGCATATGAAAGTAGTTTAAGCTGTTATATTAATAACGTGATTTCTCAGGGCTGATGTTGCCTGTATGGAATATGATCAAGCAAGAATTTATTTCATTTGTCTCACAAACTACATTTTTATTTAGCTTAGTCTATGGCATTACTGCAAGGAACACTTTCTAGCACCTTTCTTTTTAAGAGTGTTCCACAAATAGTTGATGACAGTCTCTGTCAATAATCACATTGCTTTTTTGCATGATAGCATTTTGTGTTTTAAGCTACATGGACAAAAGAAGGTTCATTTTACTCACTCCTTGACTTTTCTCACGAATAATCTTCGCCTCCACCTCCCACTGTGGTCGTCCATCTGAAGGAAAGAAGACAAGAGTTCAGCATCATACAGTTTTTCTCTTATGTCGTCTCCCATACAAATTCAAGTTAATCTGTAAGGAACTGAGAACGCAAACCTAAGGGTTCTAAAAGGCTTGCCATAAAAGTGAACCAGGTTCTACTGTAAGCTTTTTGCGAAACACTGAGGAGCACACAGAAAAATTCAAGAGCATTTTATTCTATTTTTCTTTATATGCCTCATATTAGTCATGATGTTTAATTTAGCAATCAGACTTTTACTACAATGACCAAGGGATTAACTGTACAATACCTGAACTTAAAACTAATCAGTTAGTCAATATGTATGTCCTTTTTTGCAGTTTATAATAATAATACTTTATACAGTTGTATAAGAGGGGTGTTTAGCTGTTTTGCCTAGCATCCACTTAGGTAGCTGGAATGCAAGATCAACACTCTTAGGCTTTGTTCACACAGCAGATCTTTTTCTTCATATGTGACACAGATATGTCATATTTGTGGCAGTGTGAACAGCAAAAAACACACTGAATCTGACACTGAATCTGAATCTTCCAACTCCGATTTCAGACGCTTTTATATGTGGTACTGAAATCCGACACGTATCCGATATGCGGCAATGCGACTGAACAGCCAAATCGAAAATTCATGTGGCTTTTACGTCAATCCAACTCGACATTCGTCATAATTTTGTGCTGCTGTGACCTCATAAACATTTGGGGTGATGTTTCTGTACCAAAAATCAGAAGAGATTTATCCAAATCCTTCGGTGTTCAAAGAGATTTTGAAAGAAAAGTCTAAGGTTTAAAGAATCCGAGGACAGGAATCAAAGATATCGTGAACAGCCTAACAAAAAAACTTATGACATGCACAATAAGCCAACAGGCTAATTATCTTGTCATGCCTTATAAATACAAAAGCATTTGAGGTCAGTGGCATACAAAAAAATCTCTACAGCTTTGTATTCATACATAATGAAGTGGTATTTTACAATCACTCTAGAAAGAAGGATGACCATGGCAGTGTTCTCTTTATTCAACATTTCACCTTTGAAATCATTTGTATATTGCATTTCTGGATTAACACTCACTCCATTGCCCTTGAGTTACATCACTTTCCCCTATAGAACTACACTGCCTCATATTTCTACAGGTGGTTTATACTAGCATTCAAAACACGTTTTGTCAGATGTTCTCTGTGTAATGGCTAACCAAAAGAAACACTGTGTTTAACTACAAGGCTGTTTCCTCATAGGAAAAGAGGTTCAAACGCTTGAATGGATCAACATTTCAGCTTTTCAGCTTAGCGCAGGGAGAGCCCTGACTAGGAAAAACAAATGTCATATCAATTAGTCCCACAAAAAAAGGCCCGTCTCAAAGGCGAGAACAGCACTACGGGAGTGATTTCCTTTGCTGCTCTCCAGAGCCTTCGCAGTTAATAGAAATATCAACCTCACTCTGCGAGGGGAACCACAAAAGCTGCCGAAAGCGAGCGATTTCAATTTGCTCCCGGGACCTGCGAGGGCTAATGATGTCATTTATACAGCCTCCCAAATTCCCGCGGTGAACTTTTTTACAGCTATTATAAAGTAATCAGCGTCTGAAACATCCTGCTGGCTCTCTTGCCTGGGAAGAGTTATGGAGCAGCGAGTGGAACAACACGGTTTGTTTTAAAATGCCTCCACGTGTTCGCGCCACCAAAGGCCTCAGAGGCCCTCGGAAACATACAGTCATACAGTTTTTTTTTCCTTACTGCATGCTTAACTAATTAACTGGCCAGACAGAACAGAAGGCCAATCAGGAGAGGCGATGAGGAGCTGTGGAAGCTGGGTATAAGCAATGCTGCTACCATGAGAGGGCCCAGTGCTCGCTATATAAACAACAGAAACAGTACAGCCCTCTTAAGCTCTCTTTGAAGTGCTGGGAAGTTGAGTTAGTGCAACAGGTGGGCATTGAGGAGAATGGCTTGTATGTGACTGATGTGCACCTGTGTTAGTGTGTGTCTGTTTTTGTTTTTTGTACATTTTCAAAAACGTACATCATCAGGACCAACAAAACGGTTCAAAAGTGCCTTTTACAAAAATCAAACCATTCTGGGAGCTTTTAAGATTTTATGTCCGTTTTACTATCTTGGCTGTAAATCTCAGTATGTGCTAATGTACTAGTACAGGTTGAAATATATAATATAAACGAAAACAGACTTACTTTGCTCTGCTTTAAGCCTTAACTCAGCTATAGCCACTTTTCTCGCATCTCCAGCAGGAAACTTTTACTCAAAAGTGGGATAGTTTCTTGTAAAAAGCCTTGTAACGTTCAACTTGTTATGAGGCTGAAGTCAGCTTCTCATTCACCAGGTTCTTGTTCTAATTTGAGCGTTCCATGTGTCTAATTGGCCTGACTGCATGTCTTTGGACTGTGGGAGGAAACCGGCGCATCCGGCGGAAACCCACGCAGACACAGGGAGAACACGCAAACTCCACACAGAAAGGACCCTGGTAGCCTGGCCGGGAATTGAACCCAGGCCCTTCTTGCTGTGAGGCGGCAGCGCCACCGTGCCGCCCCGAAACAACCATTATGCACAAGCTATTCATTTTTCCAGACATATTACATAAGTGATTAGACATAAGATAATCCACTTGCATAAGGAAGGGGAAATTCCAAAGGAGTTCTAAAACTGGAGCTCCAAAAATTATTAAAAGAAAAAGAGAAAATGGGATTTCCAACAACCATGCAAGACCTGGTACACCACCAAAACTGTCACCATCAGATAAACAGTACTTAAAGCTTTCTTCTTTGAGAGAGAGGAGAAAATCAAGCTCCACTTTTGCTTCAGATCTGACAAAATTCAATAAAAAAGATGAACACTTCAAACCAAATAAAGAAGTTGCTGGTGTTCTCAGAGCAAAAAACTGACCATCCCAGAACCCAGACCTCATCATAATTGAATATGTTTGGGATTATGTGAAATGTGAGAAGCAGAAAATGCATCCAACTTCCAAGACTGAACTTTGGAGGTGTGGGAAAATATCCTTGCAGATTTCTTTGAAAAACTGAAAGTTGCCTGAAAAGAATGGAAGTAGTGAAAGTAAAGGATGGACACACTAAATACTGGAAAGAATATACTGGATTAAGATGTAGACATTCCTGTGTAACTTTCTGTTACATATGTTTTGTCCGTTTTTCTCTGCTAAAAAATGAATGACTAAAAATGAAATAAACAAAGGTAAACATAAGAGATAAAAGACAAAAATATATCATTAATTTTATATCAAAATCTTGTAACACCTTTATTTTTTTGTTTTTTCTTCTTTTTAAACAGCAGCTGATATTTACAGAATATTACATGTAAATATTTCATGATAAATGACCAAATGATCCAAAATGACTATAAATTTAATAAACAGGGTTACTTTCACATTAATTAAATTTAACATCAAGTTCTATCTTCTTCTTACCACTTTGCAGATATAAGGTTTTGTTACGACAGTGACGTCCTGCCATTGTATAAAAACAAACATGCATGTGTGTGTGTGTGCGTTCATGTTTCACAGAAAGCCTTCCCCAAAACACTGAAGCTTCCTCTACATGCCACATGTTTTTCAGGGCTTCTGCTCTATAAGAGAAACAGGTATAGCAACAGCTTTACTTGACAGTGAACGACACACACCTAAAAGCTTTTAATGCTTGTTTACTGGTTTCTCCCCACCTTCCCTAAAACTGGAGGGACTGACACAAACGATTCTGCTAATCCTCAGCTCCATCAGACCTTGGTGAAAGTCTCGGTGAGGGATTTCTGGCTAGCTCTGGACCCCTGTGTGTCTACAGGCTTTCTGCTAATCCCACTACGACCTTGGATGCCTTTGACATTGAGAAATGCATTTTTGCTGCACATGTTGACATTCAACACACACCAGAGAGGGCCCCACATGCACTAAAGGAAGGCAAGTACAAGCATGAACCAAAATACTGAGGCCTGGAGACACACGCACCACCCCAACCCTTCCCTCCAGAAACACCAGTGCTGTATGAATGGTACCTAAATAAACAGAGTCAGCGAAAAACACATTTTGGCATTTGAAGAGACATGATGTGGAAAGGAATATCCTGTCAGTGAATGACTTTTTAATGCTATCAAATCCAGCAGATGGTTATGGGTTTGCCTCCACTCACGTTGTAAAAACTTCCTCAGTCATTAATAGCCAAAACACAGCCAAACCTATAGGTCTGCAGTTACTTCCACTGCAAGTAGTCAGCACACGCAGTCTTCCATTTGTGGAGTTTTCCATCCTTCCAACCATTAAATGTGATAAAAAAAAAAACAACAGACTAACCAAGCAATTAAATAAAAATCCACCCCCCCCCCAAAAAAAAACCTTAAGGACAAATAAAGAAAAGAAAATAGCAAATATAATAATACATCATCATACTGTATCAAATTGTATCAGCCTATCATATTGCATTTTAACCGTGTATCATGACTAGCATGTTAAATTGTGGCTTGTGTGTTAGTTTGTGGCTAACCTTTTAGCTTTTGAAAAGAGCTCAGGATCAGGACTCTATAAAGTACAGCTTTTGTTTCAAATATTGTACAACCCAGTTCCAAAAAAGGTGGGAGTCTGTGTAAAATGTACATTTTACATAGCGTTCCAACTTTTTTGTTTACTTTTATAATGTTAAATGCTCTAACTAAAGCTACCCTACACATGATTTCAGGATCTGGAGACCTCTCTGGTGGAAACGTAGGTAAGGGCATTTTGTAACGTCACTTGTACTTCAGACCTCTTCCACAAGCAGATGAATCTGATGATTGATAGTATGTTGAAAGACCATTCAGAGTTCAATCAAAACTTGGTGTGCCTTCCAAGGATGTAGGTGAATTACCTACTACTGACATCTTATTTTCATCACTACAATGTTGATTTCGCACTTGACACTTAAACTGTTCAGCAGTTGAGCCGGACCTTCTTTGTGAGCCTGTGCATTCAACAGAAACATCTATTTT